TCATGGCCGGACGAACACGGGGCGGGGTGGGTCCAGGAAGGCGGAGGAGGAGCGGGGGGATTCTCGATTGATTGATGAAGTCAAACACAGCTGCAAACACGTAGTTTTTAACGTGAATGAAGATTGGATGTGAGGATACCCCTTTCTATTTGTTTTTTGCCTATATCTTTTAACAAGCGAGCGTGAGATTTCGTTTGGAGGAACTTGAAACGAAGAATATCAAATGTCTGTCTCAGCCTGTCTGTCCGTCGGTTTGGCCGTTGTTGTTGCTGCGTGTGGTAGTTTTCGAGCAGCTTGGTCTTCGGGTTAGTACTCGTTCGTGGGGGCAGGGGCTCTTCTACTACTACACAACTAGATGGAGTTGGAATTCCGCCCGTTGTTACACAGCAGCAGCAGGAGGAGAACGAGGAAGCCTGCGACCACGCGAAATGATGAAAGAACATTTTTTGTCTATCTAGCGCCGTTCAACCGATTATTATTATTATTAGTATTATTATTAGTAGTAGTAGTAGTAGTAGTAGTAGTAGTAGTAGTAGTATGACACTCGGAGGAGAACAAAAAGAAGAGGCACAATAACATCAAGCGCAAGACAGAGACGACGAGAATACTCCGTATTATTAGTACTCCGAGTATGTCGTAGTACAAATCCACCGCCACAGAGGACACAACCAATACTCGAGTATGTATTACTACTCCTAACTACTGCGCAAGTGTTCACCGTAATAAACTATTATGTTCTTGTTGTTGCTAAGAAGAAGGAACACCCATACGTGCATGTAATATTCCAAGTATAATACCGGCTCGATAGAGACGGCATCCCCGGTGGCACCACTAACAGCTAATCGCCGCGGGGTGCTCCCCTCTACTACACAAACGTTTCTGTCCAAAAATAATTTTGCAGTTGCTGGAAACATTTCCGCGTGCGTTTCATCCTCAACGAAAAGCACCATCCTCAACATAGATGTTAGGCTGTTTGTACCCTTCTCGCGATAAAAATACCTCAGGCAGGCTCTCCCTTCTTCCCCTCGCTCCTCGACAAGCGTTTGCTTAGACATGGGTTGTAGCGAAGGGGGGGGTCTTTCTGGCGAGCAGGGCTAGACTCACCCTCAAGGGATGACCGAAACCTTCTTGCTGCTGCGCATATCCGCCGCGAGGCATGCGCGTGGTGGTGTAGTTGGGTCGGCACTGATGGGGTCAGGCGAAAAAATGTAGATGCGCGGGCCTCTGGCCGTCGGCGTAGGCAGCGATGCCCATCTCATTTTTTGTGCGCGGAGGCAGACACCGTCAGAAGGTGGACGGGAACTATGTACACGGCCCTAGGTTTGTTAGAGGGAGCTGTACTGTCTCAGTAACCTGGTTTTGCCATCAAAGGAGGAGGGGACAGGTGGTGACGAGCTGATTGGGCTGGTTGACCCTTCGGCGCGAGAATCTTCAGACCGAGAACCCTAAGTGCGACGAGGGAGAAAGCGAGGAACCGACTGGGAAGGACAGCAACGAGAGCGTGTACGGACGGAGCAGGTCGAGTGGCGTTTTGCTCGGGCGGACTACAGCGGCGTCGGATGGAGCAGCGGCACCGGAGCATGCGGTAGACATCGACCC